TTAGCTATGTTAGGGGGATATCTGTGTGTGCAGGTGATTATTACTGTGCATAATTATTAGGCAACTTAACAAAAAACAAATATATACCCATTTCAATTATTTATTATTACCAGTGAAACCAATATAACATCTCAACATTCACAAATATACATTTCTGACATTCAAAAACAAAACAAAAACAAATCAGTGACCAATATAGCCACCTTTCTTTGCAAGGACACTCAAAAGCCTGCCATCCATGGATTCTGTCAGTGTTTTGATCTGTTCACCATCAACATTGCGTGCAGCAGCAACCACAGCCTCCCAGACACTGTTCAGAGAGGTGTACTGTTTTCCCTCCTTGTAAATCTCACATTTGATGATGGACCACAGGTTCTCAATGGGGTTCAGATCAGGTGAACAAGGAGGCCATGTCATTAGATTTTCTTCTTTTATACCCTTTCTTGCCAGCCACGCTGTGGAGTACTTGGACGCGTGTGATGGAGCATTGTCCTGCATGAAAATCATGTTTTTCTTGAAGGATGCAGACTTCTTCCTGTACCACTGCTTGAAGAAGGTGTCTTCCAGGAACTGGCAGTAGGACTGGGAGCTGAGCTTGACTCCATCCTCAACCCGAAAAGGCCCCACAAGCTCATCTTTGATGATACCAGCCCAAAACAGTACTCCACCTCCACCTTGCTGGCGTCTGAGTCGGACTGGAGCTCTCTGCCCTTTACCAATCCAGCCACGGGCCCATCCATCTGGCCCATCAAGACTCACTCTCATTTCATCAGTCCATAAAAACCTTAGAAAAATCAGTCTTGAGATATTTCTTGGCCCAGTCTTGACGTTTCAGCTTGTGTGTCTTGTTCAGTGGTGGTCGTCTTTCAGCCTTTCTTACCTTGGCCATGTCTCTGAGTATTGCACACCTTGTGCTTTGGGCACTCCAGTGATGTTGCAGCTCTGAAATATGGCCAAACTGGTGGCAAGTGGCATCGTGGCAGCTGCACGCTTGACTTTTCTCAGTTCATGGGCAGTTATTTTGTGCCTTGGTTTTTCCACACGCTTCTTGCGACCCTGTTGACTATTTTGAATGAAACGCTTGATTGTTTGATGATCACACTTCAGAAGCTTTGCAATTTTAAGAGTGCTGCATCCCTCTGCAAGATATCTCACTATTTTTGACTTTTCTGAGCCTGTCAAGTCCTTCTTTGACCCATTTTGCCAAAGGAAAGGAAGTTGCCTAATAATTATGCACACCTGATATAGGGTGTTGATGTCATTAGACCACACCCCTTCTCATTACAGAGATGCACATCACCTAATATGCTTAATTGGTAGTAGGCTTTCGAGCCTATACAGCTTGGAGTAAGACAACATGCATAAAGAGGATGATGTGGTCAAAATACTCATTTGCCTAATAATTCTGCACTCCCTGTATAGTGCCAGGAAACCGAGTGGTCCTTTAAAAGTAAGTAACGCTACTCTAAGGTTTAAAGTGAGAGACAACTCTAACATTGTTTGTTACAATTGCAGCCAAAAAGGACACAGGGCCAGAGCGTGTTCAAACATTCAAAATAAAGGTCAATCACCGTGGTCTAGCTATCGCAAGAGCTCAACACACAAAGATGCAAATTGCAGACGAAAAAAGACAACCAGTGTGGCGCTGAGAAGAGGCAATGCAGAGGTTTGTCTTCTTGACAGCGAGGGGAACCGAATGATTATGACCCTGAAGAATGTGTTGTACATACCTTCATACCCTCAAGAAATCTTCTCTGTAGATAAAGCAACAAACAGTGGAGCATCAGTCAGCTTCCAGCAAGGCAGGAATGAACTCATACATAAGAACGGTACAAAATTCACAATTCAGAAGTACAATAGACTTTACTATCTGAATACTTTCATTGAAAATAATGACAGTTGTCATGGATGTTATGATATTCAAACGTGGCATGAAACGTGCAAAACTACAAAATGTGGTAGAAGGAATGAAAATTAAGGGTAAGATTGCTAAGTCTAATCTAAACTGTGAAGTTTGCACTCAGGGAAAATTTGTTCAGAGTAGGAACAGATAACCTGATACCAGAGCAACAGCTAGATTAGAACTAGCACACACTGATTTGGCAGGTCCTATAGACTCACAAGCTAAAGAGGGTTTCATATATACAATAGCATTCACTGATGATTACTCTGGTGCTGTATATTTTCTAAAAAACAAGAGTGATGCAGTGGTAGCCACGGAAAGGCTTAATGCTGACACAGTTCTATTTAGAGTCATAAAACGTATAAGATCAGACAATGGTACTGAGTTCACAGCAAATAGTTTTAAGTCACTGTTAAGTAAGCGAGGCATAAGACATGAAACCTCGGCACCTTACCCACCCAGGGGCAGACTGCCAGGTCGGGCAGATCGGTCGTGGACTGAGGGCCCGTGCCAGTTAGGGGCCCGGCAGTACAGCCATGCTCTGGCTGGGGAGATCTATCTTTGATCCTCCCTCCCATATTTCAAGTGTAGTGTCCTCCCCCCTATCCCTTCAGAGTTAGGCCAGGCAGCCATCCTGCTTTGCCAGGTCTCCTCGTGCTGTACTCTGCATGAGAAGGGAAGAGGCAGGGCCAGAGGATAGAAAGTGAAGTCACTTCCTGTGCTCACTCTTCTGTCCTGCGGAGTGCTGAAGATTAGGAGCAACCTTGCAGAGACCAGGTATGTGCTTTGTTAATATTTTATACTTCCCTCCCTGTATTTCTCACAGCCCCCTCCCTCTATTATACCCTGCACAGCCCCCCTCCCTCCCTCTATTATACCCTGCACAGCCCCCCTCCCTCCATTATACCCTGCACAGCCCCCCCTCCCTCACTGTATCTTGCACAGCACTCCCTGTCTCTATAATACCCTGCACAGCCCTCCCTGCCTCCATAATACCAGGCACAGCCCCCTGCCTCCATTATACGCTGCACAGACCCCTCTCTCCATGTACCCTGCACAGCCCCTTTCTCCATGTACAGCCCCTCCCCCTCCCTTTCTCCATGTACCCTGCGCAGCCCCTCTCCCTTCCTCCATGTACACTGCGCAGCCCCTCTCCCTTTCTCCATGTACACTGCGCAGCCCCTCTCCCTTTCTCCATGTACCCTGCGCAGCCCCTCTCCCTTTCTCCATGTACCCTGCGCAGCCCCCTCCTATTCTCCATGTACCCTGCGCAGCCCCCTCCTATTCTCCATGTACCCTGCACAGCCCCCTCCTATTCTCCATGTACCCTGCACAGCCCCCCTCCTATTCTCCATGTACCCTGCGCAGCCCCTCTCCCTTTCTCCATGTACCCTGCGCAGCCCCCTCCTATTCTCCATGTACCCTGCACAGACCCTCTCCTATTCTCCATGTACCCTGCACAGACTCCCTCCCTCTCTCCATGTACACTGCACAGCCTCCCTTTCTCCATGTACCCTACACAGCACCACATACTTTCTCCATGTACCCTGCACAGACCATCTCCTATTCTCCATGTACCCTACACAGACTCCTTCCCTCTCTCCATGTACACTGCGCAGCCTCCCTTTCTCCATGTACCCTGCACAGATCCACTTCCTCCATGTATCCTGCACAGAACCCCTTACATCATGGGTGTCCAACCTTTTGGCTGAGCACAGAGGAAATGTCTTGGGCCACACATAAAGCCTATAAAATAATTAGTTTATATAATAAAACTTAAAAACCCATTTTATTTTTGTTTAGTAGACAACTCCCTCATTTGTTATTATGTGGAATTGCCATATTTAAGCATACCAAATTAGGGAGCTGTCTACTAAATACATACACATGTATATGCATACGGACACATAACCACAGATATACATACACACATACACTCACAGACCTATACACAGTCACATACGCACACATAATCACAGATGTACACACACAGACATACACATACAATCACAGATACACACACACACACACACACAATCAGACTCCCACACACATAGAATCACATACATACACAATCACAGACCTATACACACAATTACAGGTATACCCACACACAATCAGACCTATGCGCACAATCACATACATTCACACACAGTCAGACCCACACACCCAATCACAGAGGCATACACACATAGTCACAGACCTATACGCACAATCACATACCTACAAACTCATCAGACACACACAAATAATCAGAGATATACACACACAATCACAGACCCACACACATAATCACTGACTTACACCTACGCAAGACCCCCCACCACACACGCAAAATCACTGACAAATCATTCACAAAAAATTACATTTATCACTGTGTCATGTAGTGTGTGTATATATACACACACATACCCACCCTGCACAGAACCCCTTCCTGCACGCTGCAGTCTCCCTGCACCCTTCACATACCCTCTCTCCCACTGCACCCTGCACAGAACCCCTTCATCCCTGCACTCTGCAGACTCCTGCACTCTACACAGACAGACCACTCCCTCCCTACACTCTGCACAGACCCCTCCCTCCCTGCACCCTGCACAGACCCCGCTTCCTGCCTGCACCCTGCACAGACCCCGCTTCCTGCCTGCACCCTGCAAAGACCCCCTCCCTGCCTGCACCCTGCAAAGACCCCCTCCCTGCCTGCACCCTGCAAAGACTCCATCCCTCCCTGCATTCTGCACAGACCCCTTCCCTCACTACATACTGCACAGACCCACTCCCTGCACCCTTCACAGCCTTCATTTCTCCCTGAACTGTACTAAGTAGAGCCCCTGTACCCACGCACATGACTGGGCAGCACGCACATAATATCTATGTATGAGGGCCTCACAAAGAAGGGGAAGGAGTAGTAGCCAAAAAAAAAAGCTTTGCACCAAGTAGGGGGCCCTTGATCTCCTATTGCCCGAGGGCCCTGTGAGTTGTCAGTCCACCCCTGGTAACACTATAATAACACCCCCATTCAGAGTTAGTGATACCTTCAATGGTCCCACGTCTGAGGTCTCCTGTTGTGGCTCTGTTTCGTGCACATCAAGATCGCAGCTTACAGAAAGACCCTGAGACAGCAGAACGTCTCGTAGAGGAAGGTTAGCGGAGCCCACAAGTCCTGGCTGGAAAGGAACACACAGGATGTTACACTCCAGAGTCATAATCGGCAAAAATAAATCAATGAAAAGTATGTAACCATCATCGAGTAATATATAATATATAACATATAACCATATCATACAAAACTGGGAGCTACATGTGGTTTCACTGTGCCAGATTATCCAAGTGTCCAAGCTGGACGTCTTTGAATGGATAATGCAGAAGTGAAATTGCTGCATGATCTGAGTGCCCGTATTGACGATAATTGTGGGATCTGGAATAACTTTAGTTTTTGAAAGCCAGCTAAAAATGACAGATACCTTTGAAATACTATTGATTATAGGCAATACAATGTGCTGCCTCTTTAAGATCTAGTTTTGATATTTATCTTTAAATGCTCCAAAGTGCCAAAATGCATTCATATAATATAGAAATTTGAAGCCTTGAGTTTTGCCTGTTTTCTCTAACTAGAGTTACTTGCGCACTATCCAAAATCACTATGCACATTTAAATAATGGGAGGTTTATTAGCATCACTCCAATGGCCATTTAAGTGTAAGCTCACTTGCCAGGTCAAGGCAAACCTCTCGGGTGAGGCCTACGCTAACAATTCACCTTGCTGTTTCTAGCTAAAAAGTAAAATCTCTAACGAGACAGAGAGGGGTATTTTACAGACAAGTGGATGTGGCAGTACCCAGTGTTGGAACATTAGGAAGAAGGAACATGAAAAGATGGACAAATAGCAAGGACTGAAAAAAAGAGCTAGAAAGGATGTGGAAAGTGAAGGCAGTATTAGTCCCAGTTGTGATAGAAGCACTCGGGGTGGTCACTCCCAAGTTGGGGGAGTGGCTTCAACAGATTCCAGGTGGAACATCTGAGTTCGCTGTCCAGAAGAGAGCAGTTCTAGGAACAGCTAAGAAACTGTGCAGAACCCTCAAGAAGGAGGAATAAAAACATACCACCCAGGAGGGGTGAGAGAACTTAATTTACACACACACACACAGCAACTGTGGCTGTGAGAATCGCTCACCTTTTTCTGGGCTCCGTTACGTAGGAAAATCTTGAATATTAGGTCTGTGTTCCACCAATGCTCAATCATCCTCCCACTGAATAGGACTGGAAACACGAATCGCTGCTGGAACTTCACAACTGGAGCAACAGAAAGACCCTGTGTTACACTGTGTTAACTGGTTATTGCTGTGATTAAAATGTTCACAGGTTGTTACAATGAGTGCTGCGTATTACTTGGTAAAAACTAGGCAGAACTTAGCAAGGACTACAAAATGAGAAAAATATTACACACCGAAAAAATATGAATAAACTACAATAGATAAAACAGGTAATCGCATAAAGCTTTATGTTTATATCTCCCACATAGGAGTACAAACACCAGTGCATCAATATATAACGAACCTTCTGTGTATTATTATTAATTAGTATTAAAGGGCCGCTAAAGTCGCTCAGACCACCTCATCATCAGAACGTGTTCTGGGTGCAGTGATCCGGAAGGTTTAACTCTGCAGGGTTAAACTGCAGTCTTCCAGTAAAACTCGGTCACATGAGGATGCAGTTCACAGGAAAGCACTGAATTCAACGCTTTCCCATGAGAATCATTTGGATGCACGAGCGGTACTTGTCACGCATGTGTCCTCTATAAGGAGCATTGGATTAGCCATCATAGAGACAGATGGATGGCATTGTGGGAAAAGTGTTTTTTCTTCATGGTTTTAATTAGCATGTGTGTGTGAGTGGGGGAGAGGGGGAATGTATTCCCAATGCTAAGGTGTTCGTTAACAAAATGCCAACACAATCTGCATAGCTGTACTACCGGGAAGCAGACAATACAATATACACATACCAATACAAGTAACAGAGCACTCTACTTATGAGTTTACACCACTTTTAAAAGAACCTAGCAAGATCGTTTGTGAGCTCTGAGACAATACTAGCCACGTCTACCTTTTGAAAGCCCTGCAAGTTGCTTTCACATCAAGTTTGACCTGTTGAAGTGATATGAACAGTTCTGCATGTCAGTCGATAAGAGAGCTATATTAGAGCAGTTCAGAGGTAAAACATGGAGTAGCCTTGCCTGCTCTTACTCTCAGGTATTGCCATAGAGAGCAGGTGAAAAAGTGATTAATGAGCACTTACATCCGCTAACAATCTTGCTTGAGACCAGTCGAGTAATTTCAGTTGCCACGGTAATGTCTCCTTTGGTTTTCGAAGAAACTGGGAAATGGAATTCCACAAAAAATGTTCTGTGGACAAAATATACAAGAAATAACAGTTCCATTTGAATGCTATGATATGCCGGTTACTTTAACCGCAGACAGTGCAAACTGTGGCTCTACCATTCCCTGCAACTCAAATCAGCTTTACAATAACACGATCTGTGTTATCTGATCTGCGATCAGTAAGTCAGCACACCATGGAGCAGTTCTATTTATGGTAATGGCTGGATAGATGGATAAAGCTGTGCTGTCTAACACAGGGGATGGATAATTGTACACAATCCTGCCATCGCTGAATGGTTGTAGAACACCTTTTACTGCCAAGGTAAGATCTAATTCACTGATAGTTCGTCTTACCGTTTGACGGATGTTGCTGGGCGAGGTGGTTTCCCTTTGCCGTTTATCTTGCTCTCTATGGCCCATTTGTCTGGATGAATCTTTAATGTGTCCACAACAACTCGAGCGACATGCATCCGCCCTAACTGTGCCAATCGGTCCACCGTTAAATCCACAGAATTAGATTTTACAGAGTTCTTCAATGGCCGCTCAGGAACCGTGAGACTGGCAATGAAAAGGTAAAAAAAATTAAAAAATTAATTAATAAACAAAAGAAGACTGTATTACCTTAATTTAGCTAAAGAATAAGTATTGCATACTTCATGCAGCTAGATGCAAAAACCAGGAAGCATAATACCCTCTCTGTGTTACCTGGAGATACTTAGACATCACTTTCTTTCAGTCAAAGAGGAGCTGCCATCCAACAAAACATTACAGTAACCCAAGCTGTAGAAACTATATATATATATGAACAAAATGTATTGCGGACATTATTTTAACCTTGAATGCCGTTTTATCACATTTTTATCTGAAGTTCAGAAAGATCATAAGTACAGAGCACCAGCACTTTACTATTGATCCAGCTACCTTGGAGATTTTGTTGATGGGCTTTTTACTATCACTGATTTTGTAAGTGTGTCTAATAAAGCACACTTGTTCAGTATTTAACAGTGTGGCCCTATATATTTTTCCACTGCTTTTTTCTTACATGTGCTTTCGAGAAAACAGAAGAGTCTTGACTACCGATACCACCACTAATTTGTGATGAGCCTGTATTTTACCATACACCTGTGAGTGTAACCTTGAATTTTAGTTACCAAGTGTGTTTTACATACTACCCTAATTTTGGTCCCTGTCTTTTTATATTTTGTTCATGTATTTGTATTTTTGAGGAGTTCTAGAGGAATCCTTATGTTTTCTAAAATATTTTAATTGGATAATTATCTTTTACATTTATGTACTGTTTTATAAGGTGAATGTGCTGCTTTGGTTTTTCATTCGTAGAAACTATATATATCTGTGGAATGTTATAATTGCAGCTGTTTTTGCACTACATTTCCCATAATTCTCTGCCCATTGAGAGATAGGAAATATTTTCCAAGAGACATAAGGATGGTAACCCCTGGAGCATAATTGGAAGACAATGGGATCAAAACAGACCACACAGACCAGAATGAGAAGTTTCTTATTGGTGGTGCCTGTTCCTGATCTGCAACAGGATCTCCGCTGTGAATGTTTTTTGTGCATTATTCTGATGCATTATTTATAGAATAGAGTTAACTTAGAGTCTGGAGTTTCCCTTTAAATGATGTGTAAAAATTCTATTTCTTTTTACGTGGTACAGTGTCAGCCTTTTACCCAGAATTCCTTGCCCCTAGGTAAATGAAGACAGTTTGTGGCGGCAGCTGCATACTTTGGTAATGGATTTATTTACCCAGAATTCTCGAGCAATATGTTTTCTTTGCGAGCAGCTTGGTCCAGCTGTGGTCCTCGATGTTTGACAGTGATTCGCTTAGACTTCCTTCTCAGAGATTCCGTGGGATCATCATCATCGCTGACGATGTCACTGAGGCTGCTGTCTGATTTCTGCACAATATTAATAGGACGAGATTCATTAGTGATTGACTATTCAGCTGGTTGGACACTGGAATAGCAGGCCGTCTGTATATTTAAACCGTTCCCTAAAGAAGGATGTGCACTGCTTGGCAGCTATAAAAAGGGCTACACAGGCTTTGTACATGTTCTATACATGTGATATATACATGGCACACCTCCAATCACACTGCACACCTCCAATTACACTGCACAATGTAAAAAAATAAATAAAGTCAGCCCCTTGCTCTGTGACTACAGTTAAAGAAAGAAGAGAGATGTATAATGTATTAAAGAAAGAGAGGATGTATGGTCCTTACAGGCGCAGTATAGAACAGGTTCTCCAAAAGGCTCTGGTCATACTGTGGGTCGTTGAACTCGCTTTCATTGTACATGTCACTCCCGGATATGGATTCTGGGGGTGATCCTGTTCCATCCCAATAGTAGCCAGGTGACAAAGAAGAGCTGGGGGAGCAAAGAGGGGGCAATAGCTTGAAATAAAATCTGACATTATTTTTACAGTTTGGTTTAATATAAAAAACCCTTTGGCTACTGAAGAAGAAAAAAGTACAACATTAAAATCTTTCACGCCATGCCTGAAAATACAAGGTTACAATACAACTTTTAATACAAAGTTGAAAACATGTTGCTAAATATTTGTGTGGCAAAAACCATTTGACTCCACAGCCCCTTAGCTCTGTCCCTCAAATGAATGTGTAACTATTGATACTTCATTGTCTTCTACCATGACCCGGAACATTCCCTCAAAACTTGTGCAGAATGACTTTTCGGCGACATCTCATGCTCACGGAATGTTCTGACATAAAGCTGCAGTAAGAGGTTATGTTATAACCACAATACCTCAAAGTCACTTAAGAACCCACCTGCCCAGGATCAGTTCTATTGCCTTGGACTCACTGGGAGTCTCTACGTCCAGCACGGTGTTCCTCCCTTGATGAAGGAAAATATCCTTACTTAATGGAGAATTATGGATCTTTAGCACGTCTGAATGACCTCTGCAGATTGGTTCAAAAAGTATGAGTAAATGTCTGGTTCAAGGTTCCATCAATCTACTGTTCATTGAAAGAGCCCCGCTGGGACTCTAGCTTACCTAGTTCTAAAGAAACTATAGAGATCAGGCGATAACTTCAGGTCCACATCGGGGTCATCAATGGGATCGGATTGGAGGGCAGAAACAACCATGGCATCCCTCAGTTTGTTTCCTTGGTCCAGAAGAACTGAATACAAATGGAGAGATTACACTTGCACATACTTGAAGATAGGTTCATGAATATGGACCCTTGAGTCCACAATTGACACAACGAGGTGAAATATAACAGCACAGTAACAACCATGGGTAAAACAGGTCTGCCCTAGGACAATGATGGATAACCCTGGCGCCCAAGACATTTCCCAAAAGCATTTCCTATGATTCCCAACAAGCTTAAAGGAGCCAAGGTAAGCCCGATACACAACCTTTGGTAGCATCTATAATTCATCTAAATCCACAAAAACATTAAATCCCCTCTCTAAACATTATCAGTAGCAAGAATATTTTGTAAATTGGGTTTATCCATCGAGTTAAAATAAATAAATAATAATTAAAAGGAGAGAGGAGTGACCGAACGTGGTGCAGGTCTGAACTTACATATGCTTCCTGAACATTATGTGCTATGAATGTGCACTGACACTTTCAAATCTGGCTTTCTGTGGGCAGTCAGTGGTCAAGGTTCCCACCCTTAGTACAATACAGCCTTTACTCACCATCGAGAAGTAAAACCCACGGTTACCTGAAATTAAATCC